AGACTTCACCAATGGATTATGATTTGTCTAACCTGATCTAGCAGAGAGCCAAGCCAAAACGAGTCATCAAGAGCGGAGACCAAGTTAAGACTGGATTACCAGCAGGAGGGGGCGTGACAAGTTTTGGATACTTGGTCTCAAGAGCAGGCAGACAAAGAAAACCCATTGGTGGAGTCTCCGTCTCCTGTACTGGAGAATTCATCTTTTCCTCCTGACAGGAAATTTTCTTCAAAGCTATAGTTTTCATTGGGAAGAAGTTCATTTTGGCTTGTTAAAAAGTGCAAGTTCAATACAAAAGACCCCTATTTTTTAACATATAACTAAAGGAGGAAGCAAAATCAGAATGAGACTGCTTGGCACAGTAGTTCTGCGTCTCCTTTATGTAAGGCAGTGTTTCTCAAAATAACAAAGTTGGAAGGAACCTTGGAGGTTTCGAGTCTAACCACCTGAACAAGGAGAAGACCCTATGCCATTTCAAAAATGTGATTGTGCAATCTCTTCTTAAAAACCTCCAGTGATGGCACACCCACAACTTTGGGAGACAAGTCATTCCAGTGGTTCATTGTTCTCATTGTGAGGCAATTTCTCCTTAGTTCTAAGGGTTTTCTCTTTGATTAGTTTCCATCCAAACCTCAACAACTTTAAGATATGTGGACTTCAACTCCCAGAATTTTTGGCATGCTGGCTGGGGAATTCTGGATGTTGAAGACCACACATCTTACTGAGGTTGAAAAACACTGATTTATCTGTAAACTGTCTGGTGAGGTCAAAGATACTGAGTGTAGCAGGTCATGGTTGAGGAGAAGTATCTGAATAAAGTACATCTTGAATAGGACTCAGTACAAATAAGATATGGGTGCTTCATTGCCTGAAACATATGTCAGAATTGGAAGGATATTATTGGAAGGATTTTTTTTTCAAGGAGTGCTAAAATGTTATTGACTCTCTCACTTAACCTGCATTAAGTGAGTAGATCTGATTTGGTCTATAAATCTAGCTGAAATATAGCACAGTGCTATGATATCATTACTCCTAATAGATGATGACTAATTAAAATTATTCATCTAGAAAAAAAAATCCAGCTATTAGAAAAGAGCAAGAGTGACTAAAAAAAAATACAGAGAGTCACGGGGGAAATGGTTTTCACCTTTTTCCTCTCCGTCCTTACTTTCAAAACAATAATTTAATCTGTGTACCTTATTACATTATTAGCTAAGTGCTAATTTTGAAATCCTTGTTATAGTACTATAAAAAGAACAACAACCCAGATTCACTGGAACCATTTTACAATCTAGGTAGTAGCTGTTGAACTGGTTTCACAAGGTGTAATAACAAGTAGTGATAATTACCACTATCTGAAAATAATCACTAGGAATGACAACTTCTCCATTCTTGATCCACTGTACTGAAGGGGCTGGTTTTCCGGAGACAGCACATTCAAACTCGATGTCCATACTTTCATAGGCATAGAGATTTGAAGGGTGAGTGATAAACCATGGAGGAACTGCAAGAACAAAGAGAAAAAGAAGTCAAGGTGGGAATGAAAGATGCGATCAGAAAACAGTTATGCAATTATTTATCTGTGACAAATCCTCAGCTACCAGACAAAACCTGGTCAGTTGATCGAACTTGGATGATTAAGGTGTTGGCCTAGATACCAGTAGACTGTGAATACTAGTCCTACCATAGGCATGAAAGCCAGGTGGATAACTTTGGCTAATCAACTGGAGTTAATGAGTTCTAGTCCCACCTTAGATACGAAAGCCAGCTGGGTGACTTTGTGACAATCACCAGGAGACTGTGAGTTCTAGTCCCACCTCAGGCATGAAAGCTGGCTGAGTGTATTTGGGCCAGTCAATGTCTCTTGCCAAACCCACCTTAGAGGGTTGTTGTAGTAGGAAAAATAGGAGGAAGAAGGTGTATTAGGTATGTTCATCACCTTGAGTTATTTATAAAAATAATAAAGGATACACACACACACACACATATACACACACTGTCCAATTCCATAGTATTGTGATACATAGTCTTTTACTTAACCTATGATTGGCTTTACCAAATAAACCAGTATGAGCAACGTTTTCCCAAGCCTGCAGGAAGAAGATGTAAGCCAAATGATCTTTTCAGAGGACAAATTCTTATTAGGCTGGCAATTATCTGTTGTCTTGTATTACTATAATGTATTAACACTTTTCCTGTATAGTATGTGATATGCTAATTTAATTTAATTTCATCATTATCATAATACTAGTTATAGTATGATAGAAATTTGCAATTCAAGGGAAACTGCTAATAACATCACATTTCTAATGAGTTTTTCTATCATCAAAAAAGATGGGAGGTGGAGGGGATCCGTCCTGTTCGTCAGCTTTCAACAAGGGAACAATATTCATTATTCTGAATATTCATAGCTGCAAGAAAGCCAGATTAGATTTTTAATTTTCAGGATAGCATCCATGGCTTGCTTTTTGACATGGAAAATGCAATTGTGTTTCTGAAGCAGCCATGCGTAATGTCTGAATAATACAGTTTTTACAGTTGTATCAATACAAGCAGGAATTATCTAATAGAATATGCATGTTGCAAAATTATCAGACCTATAGATCATTATATTTATCTTGCACTTATTGATAGCTAGAGAGTCAGTTTGAGGTAGTGGCTAAAGCATATGATCACCATTTCTGAGGTTCCCAACTGGCTTCTGACAAGCAAAGTCATAAAGTCCAGCATGAAGCTGGATTCCTTAACAACTTCATGATTCACTTAACAAGTGCAGTGATTTGTTTAACAGCCATGGCAAAAAAAAAAAAGATCATAAATTTGGGCAGGACTCACATAACCACTGTCTTGGTGAACAACATAAATTCTGGTCCCAATTGGGATTGTAAGTCCTCAATTTAAAACAGTTCATTTAGTAATCATTCAAAGTTATGGCTGATTCGGGAATTCTGGGAATTGAAGTCCACAAGTTATAAAAGGGCCATTGTTCCCCACTCCTGGGTTAAAACATCAAGCCCCAAACTGGGAGACCATAAACTCTAATCCCGCCTTAGGTATGAAAGTCAGCTGGGTGGTCATGGCCCAGTCACTCTCTCTCTCAACCCTAAGAGGATTTTGTTGCTCAGTCACTAAGTCTTGCCCAACTCTTCGTGACCCTATGGACCAAACCCTCTACCCAAACCCATATTCATTGCATCAATGACACTATCTAACCATTTCATCCCCTGCCATCCCCTTCTCCTTTTGCCTTCCATCTTTCCCAGCATCAGGTTCTTTTCCAAGGAGTCCTCTCTTCTCATTTGGTGACCAAAGTATTGTACCTTCAGCTTCAGTATCTCTCCTTCCAAAGAACAGACAGGATTGATTTCTTTTAGGACGGCCCTAGGAAGGAGCCAATGGCAAATCATTTCTGAAAAACCTCGCCAAAAAAACTGCAGGGACTTGTCCAGGCAGTCCTTGAGAAGTGATCACAATTCAACAGAAGAAAAAAAGGAAAGGTAGGTAGGTAACCATCAGCCTAAAGGACCTTTATGAAACATTTAACCCAAAAAAAGAAACATATGTTTCTTTAAAAATATACAGCCTTGGTTGGCAGCAAGTCAATATTAAAACAACCGTAGCAAAACTTGCAACATTAAAATAACAAGATCAGGATCAAAAACAAGATTTTAAAAGAATTAGATCAAGCAAGAAAAAAAAAAGTAGGACTACATTGGTTTCTATTTAGTCATTTCTTCTTCTGCAAACTTAATAAATTTGTTCTATAATTTGTTCTCCTCAGAGTCAATTTGGAGAACTATGATGGGGTGTGTCAGGCCATTGTAATATGAAATGAATGCTATTGGAGTTCTCCTCTAGCTAGATCCATGAAAACACTAAGAAAATAGTGACCCTATTAAACCTACTTTGCTTAAAATCACTGTAATTAAAAAGAAAAAAATTCAAAGAAAAGCTAAAAAGAACATTCACATATATTATTAACTGAAACAAAATCTTTTTTTCCCCTGAGAAGGTTTCTGCAGTATAAAACCATACTGTGACACTGAGAGAAAACCTATTTTTCCCTCATAAAAGTATTCAAAACAATTGATGCAAGTGCTGAAAACTATACTAGGTTTAGAACATTCATTTGGAAAAAAAGATAAAACTCAGAAAAAATTGGAGCACAACTGGAAATCAGTTTTCAGAGAAGTAGCTAAGAAAATGCTACTGTCCAAATGCAGTGAATCGAAGAAAAAAATTACTGTTGAGTATAGCATGAATCCAAAATCAATATGTTCATAATTCAGAAATTCAGATGGACCAGATTTGTTAACCGTTCCTTAAAAGCTCAGTGGTGGACAATTTGTACCTTTTGTTTCTCACAGTTGGATTTCTGCAATTTTTTGTTGTTGTTGTTTCTCTGAAACTGGAATTTTCCAGTTTTTTCTCCTCTATGGACTCAACAAGGCCTACCCCGCAATTCTTTGTTTGTTATTTCATCACAACGTTGTGACACAGAATGACAAGGACTAACCAATATCACTTAATGAGCTTTCACTGGTGAGGGTAAATTTGAAGTTGGGTCTTCCTCCTAATGGAAAACCTTCACCCCTACATCCTACTAGATTTTTTAATTTTTTTTGGGGGGGGGGAGGAATTAGATAACCTTTTCAGTTCAGGAGCCACTAATTATTTAATTGGTAGTTCAGAAGTCAGAAAGTAATTTAAAATACAGGTTGTTGTTGTTATTAATTGCGAAGTTGTGTCCGACCCATCGCGACCCCATGGACAACGTTCCTCCAGGTCTTCCTGTCCTCTACCATCTTCTGAAGTCCATTTAAGTTCACGCCTACTGCTTCAGTGACTCCATCCAGCCACTTCATTCTCTGTCGTCCCCTTCTTCTATTGCCCTCGATCTTTCCCAGCATTAGGCCCTTCTCCAGTGAGTCCTTCCTTCTCATTAGGTGGCCAAAGTATTTGAGTTTCAACTTCAGGATCTGGCCTTCTAAAGAGCAGTCGGGGTTGATCTCTTCTAGGACTGACTGGTTTGAATGCCTTGCAGTCTTCTCCAGCACCATAGTTCAAAGGCCTCAATTCTTTGTCGCTCAGCCTTTCTTATGGTCCAACTTTCACATCCATACATTGCAACTGGGAAAACCATGGCCTTGACTATATGCACTTTTGTTGGCAGGGTGATGTCTCTGCTTTTTAGTATGCTGTCTAGATTTGCCATAGCTTTCCTCCCCAGGAGCAAGTGTCTTTTAATTTCTTGGCTGCAGTCCCCATCTGAGGTGATCTTGGAGT